CCAAGGCCATTTGGCGAAAATACGAAGCCTGACTGCCTGAAAAATATCCTATTTATGTACGAGGTACAAACTTTTATATACACATCACCTACATTAATATGAGACGTGTAAATTACAAAATGCGACCCTTATTGATTATGCTGTGTGCATATCACTGTAATCTCAGCTCACTCATAGCAATTAATTATATCCGGAACAGGAAATGAAAATACCACTAAGACACGGATCAGATCATCAGGCGTGCCAACCGCACGTTATGGTAGCTCTTCGCTGTGATCCAGATTATGCACAAAGCTAACTATTATGAAGTGCTCTTCAGCCTTCTTCGTCTTTGAGCCCAGAATGGGCGCAAATGATTCGTTACACCCCCTATTAATTAAAACTTCTGTTTATCTTGCGGTGATTTGCAGACCGTAGGTGAAAAGCTGAATCAAATGGTAAAGTCATTCTACGTATTAGAACGATCAAAGGATTTGCTTTCACTGTAATGACGCCGGCTTTTGTTTCTTCGCTTGCTTTTAATTTTCGTTCGTTCTGTTAGAGGTTTCGAATGACGTCCGTCTGTCTGTTTGATCTTTAATTCGAGACGCGGAAACGACACCGCTAACTTAAAGAAAAAAAAACGAATAAAAAGGAAGTCTGAACGAGGCGTTTTACTGGTGTAAATTCTCTAGCTTTTGCTGAGAAAATTCCCTGTAAATGTTCAGTATGGCCTCTGGCGTATCACAGTTAAAACAGACGGATAAGGGAGTCTTAAACCTAACAATATTATATAGTGCCGCGGGTTAGCGTCGCGTTAACAGTCTGTGCTTGCCTTCAGGGGCATCTAAGTCGGGGAGAAACAATTTGGTAAACCTAGAAATAACTCGAAGAATGCATGATATTGTAGCATATAGACCCGTCGTTAGATAACGGTCCGTACACATGCAACAAAGGAACACGCCCGTCCGCGGTGACGTCACGCAACGACAGAAGAGGGGCTGCAAGCGGCGTTCTCTGTGGATCCGCTCCGTGGCTATATGACTCGACTGACCGAAGTGAATTCAGTTAGTGCAGTGTACTTGAATGCAGTTAGTGCAGTGCAGTTGAGTGTAGTTAGTGCAGTGCCGTGCAGTGGATTACAGTTGGTGTAGTGCAGTGGAGTGTAGCGGGCTACAATTAGTGAAGTGCAGTGGAATGGATTACAGTTAGTGCAGTGCAGTACAGTACAGTGGAGTACAGTTAGTGCAGTGCAGTTGAGTGTAGTTAGTGCAGTGCAGTGGATTACAGTTAGTGTAGTGCAGTGCAGTGTAGCGGGCTACAATTAGTGAAGTGCAGTGGAGTGGATTACAGTTAGTGGAGTGCAGTACAGTGGAGTACAGTTAGTGCAGTGCAGTGGATTACAGTTAGTGCAGTGCAGTGCAGTGGAGTGGAGTATAGTGTAGTGTAGTGCAGTTTTAACAGTGCAGTGTAGTTAGTGCAGTTGAGTGGAGTGGATTGAGTGAGTTAGTGGAGTGGAGTCGAGTTGACTTGAGAGTCGACAGTGGTGGAAGAGTCGCACGGAAGCAGAGGACAATGTTAGATGTCGTTACCAGAAAACCGATGAACACACAACAGACTGAGAAGAATTAAGTGTGTGCTCTAACTTGTAGTTACCATAGCTGAGTGTTCAATAAATCCAATTACCAACCCAAACCCAGACTGCAGTCACTGATACGCGTGAAAATTTTAACTCAGCAGCTTATTTTGACGGCTGCTAGACATCTGTGCGTGTTCTGTTGTGTTTTGCCAACTGCGAAACGTGACCGAATGAAAGTCGATATGAAGAAAGCAGTCTTCTGGGATGTGGCACCGTGTAGATGTGGTGTTAACCGACGTTTCGGAGGAATGTATCGCCTCAATCTTCAGGGTAGAAGGAAAAATTAGAAATCCGCAAGCGTCGGTTAACACCACATCTACGCGGTGCCACATCCCAGAAGTCTGCTTTCTTCATAGTCACCGCCGTGAAAACCTCAAATCTTACGAAAGTCGACATATTCGTAGTTTGTATATTGAACAAGAGATGTAGTTACGTGTACAGTCCTTTTGTTATAATGTAGTTATAATGTAATTGTATCTATAATTCAGTTCATCTGAGTATTTTGGGTAGAGGAAACTGAATTATACGTCAAAAAAGAATTGGGTTTGCATGTGTGGACTTGGGACAGGGACCATTGGTGATTGTTTTAAACAATTTTTGGTTTCCATATGGAGCAGGATACTGTGATTATTGGCGCCCCGAGGATGTTTCTGCTTCGCGGAGTTAGTTATGTGAAATGTAATGAAGTCTTGTTCAGCAGAGAGCAGGTCTGACGAGGAATCTCTCTAGTATTGTTCAGAGACCCATCGTGATGAGATAGCTCTCACGTGATCATGTTGTCTGGGCTCTCGAACCACTTGGCGATGACAAATACAGAATGTGCCAGAACAGACGGAAGTCTCTAGTACAGGACATCTCTTACAGTGACGGGTCCGATGAAGCGGCTACTGAAAGCTCGTCGAGTCGGCCAACTATGGTCTCTCTACGCCGCCCACTGGACTTAATTTTACTAGAGAGAGGGAAAAAAATACGCCATAAACACAACCCACAAACTGTGCACCGCGTCACATTTATGTATATATGTATCTATCTGTCTGTCTATTCATCTATCTGTCTATCTATCTACCTACGTACCTACTCCTGTTGCTCCCATAAGCATAAGGCATCTGTGAAACGCGTTGTTTCACTTCAGTTTCTTAATCTGAGACAGTAGGTAGCACTCCTTGGACGGGGGATCAGCCCAACCGAAAGCTGCTACCTACACAAGACAACACAAACAGAATAAACGCAGACAGACACACAGACAGACAGGCATGCCTTGAGTGAGATTTGAATCCACGATCCCAGGGTTCGAGATGGCGAAGACATTTCCTACCTTAGACCACGCGGCCACTGTGANACTCCTTGGACGGGGGATCAGCCCAACCCAAAGCTGCTACCTACACGAGAAAACACAAACAGAATAAATGCAGACAGACAGACAGACAGGCATGCCTTGAGTGGGATTTGAATCCACGATCCCAGCGTTCGAGATGGCGAAGACATTTCCTACCTTAGATCACGCGGCCACTGTGGCCGGCCCGGAAGACAGTAAACTTCATTAAAAACTTTACTCTGCTGGGAATTGAACTCCGCTACTCCATCTCTTGGCCATTACCTCTCTGTATTCCCTGCCTCTTCGTTTCAATTCCCTTTCCTTATTTATGTCTCTTTTTAGAGTTTTCCTTCGTTACTTTTATTTCTGTTCCTTTTCTCTTGTTTTTATAAAAGTAGAGCCAACTTTCTGTCTCATATTCCAATCTGCTGTGGGAACGGCAGTGCTTCATGGACCCTGTTTCCAACATACCTCTGACATACACACTGACGCAGGTGTGTTGTTACGGGAGGTTGCCTGCAGGAAGTATGAAGTATGGTAATTGGTAGAGCGTATGGACGGTACATGCGTGTACAGAACGAGGAGCTCGAGAGATGTCTCTGCCTTCGCGAATTACAGGCTTCACAGTTGTCAGGAAGTGGATTTAGCTTATCCTTCAGACTGAACTGTAGACACTTCGAACAAAGAAAAGGGACGATTTACAACGAGAGTTCGCTTTAATACTCCGCCGGGAAAGCTCCACGAACTTTCAAGAGCTATGTCATGGCCTACTATGAATGTCGCACAAGACACTCTTGGACTCTTGTTGATTATTTCCCTCAAGTGCTACTTTGGCAATTGGTAGTGGACACTGAAATTAGAATGAAGTCACTGGAACAATATACAAGTACTTGTACTGAAACTTGTGAGAGGGAAACAGTGTTACTACTTGAAATACTTTACTCGGTCACCTATTTTGACATTTGCTTATTCTCGTGTTAATTAATGTCATTTCCTTCTTCTATCTGCCTTGTACACACAGTCCGGTGGGGCACGCGGTAGCGTGAGTGGCTGAGGCACTATGTTATAAGCCGAAAGGTTGCGGGTTGGATTCCCGATGAGATGATTAGATTTTTCAATTGACATTAAACCTTCCAGCCGCAATATGGCCCTGGGGTCGGCTCAGTCTCTAACAGAAATGAGTATCAGGAATCTTTCTAGGGGTAAAGGGTGGGGCGCCTAAGGACGACAACCTCACAGCCATCTGTGATCCGATTGTCTAGAAAATGTGGGAGCCCCGACGCGTCACAACCTGGTCTTCCACGGTCTGTTAAGAGGGACAGATGCAATCTGGTTCTCAAGAAACTCGTCCATGCCGCGGTTTTTCTTCAGTTTTGTCGAAGGCCAGCCTAATCGGTGCAACAGGATGTGTTCTTTCTTAATTCTGTTAATTATTTTAAGCTCTATTTACTGCCGTTCTTTTCCAAGAACTTTTTATATTAATATTGTGCTTACCTTCTAGAACATGTCTAATTACTTTACTCTGGATATCTTGTGTTAATCTGAATGTGTTCGAGAACAGGATGTTATGGAGAATACTTGGACCCAAGAGGGATGCAATAACAGGAGGCTGGAGAAACTTGCATAAGGCTGGGCTTTATAACAGTTACTTTTCGACAAATATTATTATAATGGCCACTTCAAGGTTGATGATAAGGGCAAGGCATGTAGTATGCATGAGAGAGAAGATTAATGCATACAGAATTTAGGTTGGAAAAACAGAAAGAAGGAAACCAATAGCAAAACGTAGACGAAAGTGGGAAAATACGAGTAACAATAAAAAATGGAATTTAGTGCAGTAAGATGGTGTGGTATGAACTGGATTTATCCGGCTTAGTACAGTGACACTTGGCAGGCTCTTGTGAACACGGTAACGAAGCTTCGAGCTCCATCAAATTTTGGGAAATTCTTGAGTAGCTGAGCGACTGGTGGCTTCTCAATAACTCATGTTCGTGGAGTATATTGTATTGTGTTAAAAAATGGATATTTTCTCTTGTTTAACAATTAATCTCTCTGTTTTCTTTGCAGGTTGGGATAAACGACATCGTGTTCATAGTTGTGGCAGGTAAGCAGAGGAAATGTTGTCATTATTGCTACAACAATAATGTTACAGGTTATTCTGTCCATGAACCTCTAATTTATACTCTAATTTGGGCCCATCACAAAATGGCTGCATGAAGAATACATTCTGTCCGAGCAGCTTGGCGTAGCGATAACTCAGTATATTGTATTCTAAAGGTCCTCGGCTCATATCTCGTTCAGAACACCAACTGTACTGACTGAGATTTAGGAGGGGGGGATTATTATCTCGATTAGGCTACGAACATTCCCATCCTAACCCTTTCATTTCATTTTTCGTCTATTCTACAATGACGTCATATGTTGTAGCTACTGTCAGCTCTTAAAGTAACCGAGAGAATGCAGTTTATATCAAATTATACACTGCATTAGTATATTTTTCATGGTGTCTGCAGCTCTCAGAATGTAAGCTTATCATATGACGTATTATCCTTGCTTTTTCTTCAAAGAAATGAGGCAAATAACGAAAAGCCTCTGTCAATTTATCCGGTTTGCTGGCCAAAATTTGAACACGAGACATCCGGAATACGGAGCTTGAGTCGTAACCATTTTACCGCGACGTTCGATGCATGACGAATTATATATATATATGGTATCCCAGGGAGAAACGGTCGATATTCATGGAGGTCATACTATCGGTCAGTCTAAGAAATAAAATATATATGCACATGTGTCCTCTTCTTGTTAACAGATGATGGAAGGTGTACTTGTGAAATTAAATCCAGGATTGCCATGGCAAAAGCTGCATTTAGCAAGAAGAAGAATCTTTTTACCAGCAAATTGGACTTAAATTTGAGGAAGAAACTAGTGAAATGCTACATTTGGAGCATAGCTCTGTATGGGGCTGAAACATGGACACTTAGGGCAGTAGATCAGAAACATCTGGAAAGTTTCGAAATGTGGTGTTGGAGAAGAATGGAGAAGATCAGTTGGACCGATTATGTGAGAAATGAAGAAGTGTTAATTAGAGTCAGTGAGCAGAGGAATATCCTACATGAAATAAGAAAACGGAAGGCTAATTGGATTGGTCATGTTTTACGCAGAAACTGCCTTCTAAAAGAAGCTATCGAAGGAAAGATAGAGGGGCGGATAGAAGTGACAAGAAGACGAGGAAGAAGACGTAAGAAGATGCTGGATGACCTTGGGACAGAAGAGGATACTGTCATTTGAAGGAGAAAGCTCTAGATCGCATTAAGTGGAGGAATTATTTTGAAAGAGACTGTGGACCTGTCGTCTTGACAGATTACTGATGATGATGTGTCCTCTTCCGAACGGTTTCTGAGATAAGAGTTGTTCCCTTGTACAGTTCCACAACTGTTCATAAGAAAGATATATTGCGTACTGTTTATAATACCGGTATTTATTGTTCAAATGACAAAATTGGTACAATTTACCTAGAATAATACATTTCCGAAAATTCCACCGTCAACATTAATGCATTTTGCAGCTCGTGTGAGGACAGCGTGTTGCTCGTGTGTACAGTGAAATAGCTCTATCCCGGAAACCGTTCGGAGTGGGACACATGAACATATACAGTTTTTTTACTTAGAACTACTGATGCTATGACCGAGAATATTGACCTTTTCTCCTGGAACACGCTGTATATACCTGGTGGAGTCATTAAGTTCGTGGAATCTGGTTTTATCGCATCATATTACAAGGTATTCACATACACTTACACAGATCCACATCGGCCCTCAAAATAGTTGCCGTTGGCCGCTATGCAAGTCTGCCAACGTTGATATAGCTGTCGAAAACATTGCTGAAACATATTGGCAGTAAATTCCCGTATGACGCTTTGCGGCCATTCCATGAACTTACTGACTGCGGTAGTATAGTAAAATGTCTCATGTGAACGCTAGCACACAACGCCTATGTAGCTCCTAAGCTAATATAAAGCATTTTGCGAAGTAATTTTCTGTCATGTGCTTTAATAAATAAATAAAAACATTCGGCCATATGTGGCTGGTGTAACTGGCCAACCGAAAGAAATAAGATGAATTGTATGAGTACAACCTTGAGTCTACAGAGTTTGTCTGTTAGGTGCTGAGTTGTCCTTTAGCTTTCGTGCATTTCAGTGGTCTCAAGTAGAAGGGCTCTTTCATTACGTACGTCATTCGCTGCAGATCCGCTAAATTTCCACCCGAAACCCAATATTGATGTTCTACTGGATTCCTGGAAAGCCAGTCCTTCCCCACCATGCAGTGGCTTACCCTCACTTCAGATAACTCTCGTGAACAAATATAATATTAAATCATTACGGCACCTCCTCGTTTACCAAATGATTGTAGGGTGGTACGCGTGACGCAAATAACGGGTTCTAGTTCGGATGATTGTACTTATTAGCATCTTGGTTACAAGTTCTCTTAATCACAATTGAATACAGCGCTATCGCTGATTTACACAATTTTAACTTCATTGTTGCACACGCACTAGGATCGTTCGTCTTCACTTGTCCTCTCCTGGCAACGGATCTCAACACAGAAACTAGCACTTCAAATTACTATGAAGTCTTTTTTGCTATTTCGTCTTCAATCGCTCTGGAACTTCGGAACTAAAATTCTTCTGCACTCCTCCAGCTTATGACTGACTCGTAACTGCCCCTGAACAAATTTTATCAATGAGTGGTGCTGGTGGTGTAGGGGTAAGACATCAGCGTAGTGTTCAGAAGGTCCCTGGTTCAAAACCAGTAGGATTTTTGGCCGCGCCATAGCTCAAGCGTTTAGTCGCTGTCTTCCCACCGCGGAGGCCCGGGTTCGATCCCGGGTCTGGTCAAGTGGGATTGTGGTGGACAAAGTGGCGCTGGGGCAGGTTTTCTCCGAGTACTTCGGTTTCCCCTGCCAATCTTCATTCCACCAATTGCTCCACAATCACCCTCACCTGTCATCTGGGGCTGGTACAATAGGCCAGAAGTGGCCGCAGTGCAAGGGACTTAGTCCCACTCCACTAACAATAAAAAAAATTCTGTCACTGCATTTATTTTTCTTATAAACATTCTGCACAGACCCCAAGGAAAACAACGTCTCTATTGTTGATGACGGCACCTCTTACGCGGAAGTGTGTTTACCAAGCCGTTGCTTAGAAACGGGTTGCATAATCCCATTGTTCCACTGCTGCTCGGCGCGGACGACATAGAACACACAGCCTCATCCATTGTTGCGTGTTGGATCATGCTTACAGAGCTGTTGGCTTGTAACGCGTTGATCAAATCTGTTACAATATTAAATGAAACCAAATAAATCAACCAGTTTATTATGTTAATCACACTGCATGTTTCGACCACTTGACAATCATCAGGCGGCTGGGATAGAATACACCTCCTTCAAGAGTTCTGTTTTTGCGTATCCATAGTAAATGTTGTTTTTGTACACGTCATGGGAACGTGTTTACACTTGCTACCTAGGCAACGATGTATTCCCTGCTGTTTCTTGTAACGGGAACATGGTTACCGAGCCGTTGTCTAGCAATGGACGTCTCGCTTCGGCTTCGATTTTCCGGTTTTCATGCGTCATGTCACAATATAATATAAGCTATAAGTGAGATTGGTTCCCATGTCATGTCTCGTATTCTGAAAATGGGTCTCTATATATTGTGGATGCGGAGGGGGCAGGGTTGTGTCCTGTCCTTTGAAAAATCGTGATACAGTACTGTGTGTTGAATTCGATTCTTTTTAAATTCCATTAAAACAAATTGGACGTGGCGAAATGTACATGAAAATAATAATCGCTATCCCAAAGGGGAGGTTTCTAATTTAACATTGCGTGGCGCCGCTTCTCATTAAACAGTTGAAGGGTTTGATTCAATAATGATACAACTCAATTTTATATATTTATTGGAGCCTAATAACAAATTAATAATTTACATAAGTCCGTATAAAAAGAACTGCACTCACTTGTCGTTACTTAAATTAATTTTCTGCTGACTGCTTTCGTTAGATTCAGTATAAAAGAGGTTCGTGAATTTTAGAGCAAAATCACCCTCACCTATCATCTGGGTCTGGTACAATAGGCCAGAAGTGGCCGCAGTACAAAGGACTTAGTCCCACCCCACTAGCAATAAATATAAAAAATAAAAATGACTCTTAGGGAAATTTGTTGTAAGGATGTGGATTAGATGGAACTGGCTCAGGATCGTATCCAATGACGGGCTCTGGTACTAGCAGTGTTGAACATTTTAGTTCTGCTGCTACAAGTTAGCAGGTTAATTAGTAAAGAAATATATCGAATATCTGCATAGCCTTGGTTGTTTTGTGTCATAGTGATGTAACGCGAGCTAGTTTTCATGTTCTAAGTAATTCCAAGAACTCTGCATAGCCTTCAGCCCCCTAAACTCGCGTATTTTCCTCAAGACTCCACATCAAGTTACGGAACCCGCAATTAGGATAACTGCTGTCCCATACAGAATTTGAACTTGGTACTTCCAGAACGAGACTCCTATTGGTTACTCTCCTATCATCTCACACCACGGCAGTGAGCTGCGAATCGGTGGATATATTTTAAAAATACAGCGACTTCACATATTAATTAGTTTACTTTCGTTATTTTGAAAAAAAAAAGTAAAAGTAGGTTTATGGGATCATTATGCTGTCTGTGTGTCCTTGTATCCCTCCTGTCAACTTTTGAATTCCTGACCTGATCTTTATGAAACTTGGTATGTATATCACGGTACCTGAACCCATCCCAACGGAGTACTTCATACATCCCTCCCATCAGTCTGTGCGTCTGTATGTGCATCCCTCTTATCGTTGCCAGGCAACGGCTCGGTAAAAATTTACGGCGGCAACGAATTCACACTTAACAATAGAAGAATTGTTTGACGCGTCGTTTTCTATGCCGTACGTGTCGTATCATATGAAAGTGGGCTATTTGTTCTTCCCGGGACTTCTTATTTTTATTTCTAATTTAAGGACTCTGTCATTAACACAAGACTGCATGGCCTCGAGTGATGCAATGATTAATGAATAATTTATTTGAAAGGATGTGAACGAAGTGACCGTCTATTTTAAGGCACCATTCTGACATTCACCTGAAGGAACTTTGGAAGACCACGAAAAACCTCACTCAAGTTAGTGAGATTCGAACCTTAGCTCTCCAGAATACAAGTCAGAAGCGTTACCGCTTGATCCGATTTGGCTGGTATATTTAATACTGAAGGATTTATTTCACGATATGGGAATTTCCATAATTCTGCGCCCCCTCCAAGATGGGGGGGGGCAGCCAGAAAATGTGCTTCCGTATTCAGGACAGAAGCAAATGGTTTTAAATAGTTCTAATATTTTTGGTATTAATATTTATTTTGTGAAATTCGATATTTGTAATCGAGGAAGGGGTGGGGAAATCCTTGGCATGTCCGCGCTGTCGACGCCTGCTTCTCACTATGAACACCCTCGAACCCTAGATCTCGCACTGGATGTAACCTGTAGCTTCAGGCCTGGAGATTACAGAATTGAATCTGAACCCAGGAAGACAAATATTTTTATTCAGGGGCGGAAGTGAAGTCCCATGATATTCGACATGTCATTTAAGCCATTCAAAGCTTCAAACTGTTCTGTCAATAGAATTAGTGGGTTTTTGGACTTTTCCCATCGCCCGGTGTTCTAGAAAATAGAAAACACTACGTTTCGGAAACTGGGTCTGTTTCCGTCCTCAGGTGAGTGAGGGAAGACGCCTACTCAACTGGGCTCCTTAGAAAGAACTAATCTCAATCACTGGACAACTCCTGTTAGATTCACACAGCTATTTAATAACCTGAGACCAGGCTAATTCGTCGGGAGATAATAAGAAAATATAGAGTAAAAATTGTAATAAAGCACGCACATGCTTGGAACTAGGATAGAAAAGGAGGTAGAAATTTATGCTACAAACTTATCCAACAAAACAAAGTTCTGTCAGTCTTTCGAATGATCTCGTTGATTATTTGATCATTTTTATCCCTCTGTGTTTGTCGATTGATGTTTGGCGATTAATTCGTTCCGGTTGAGCCATTAAAATAAAATTACATGTACCTAGAATCAATGCAAATCCACTACTGAATTTCGGGTTCTTATACAGAATCCGTTTATTCATTCTGAACCAACTTACGAATTTATCTTGCACGATGTTGTTTAGTGTGCACCATAACCTCACACGGTAACATTAGAGAATATGAAAAATGGCGGACCAGTTCCAAGGAAGTAATCCCCCATGTGTACAGGCTAATAATACCTAGATATAATTCTGTGACGTAGCCTAGAGATCATTCATTGCTCTTCCCTTAATTGTTCTATTTTTGCGTAGGTGCTGCACTCTATTGAATTACTCCCGTTCCATGGCCGCCATCGTTTCTATGTTTGTGACCGGAAGATGCGTTCTTGGTTGTTTCTGTCAGTGTTCCTTTGTGATGGCCAGAGGTGAGTAAATAAGATCTAAAAGTATGTAACGATGGTGCATTAGTACAAATATTATGTTTTTGGATATTATCCATCGTCTTGTCTATCTCTAAAAACCGTCCTGTTTATTTTTCAAAACACGATGTTTAGAAGACTGGATTCTGCCTCCGTCTATCTCTAGAGATAGAGCCTAGCTCCATCGATTGGGCCCAACTGTGTAGGTTTTACCTGAAGACGGAGACAGAATCCAGTCTCCGAAACGTTGTGTTTTGAAAACTAATCAGGACGGTTTTTGGATAAAGAGAGGGCGATGTCCAAAAACATAATATTTGTACTAGAGGTGAGTAATTTCTTTTAGTTGTTTGTTGCAGTGGATGTTACTAAAATATTCATCATCTGCTGGAATAGTGTATTGATTCGGAAGCCTGGAGGCACAGCGATGTTTGAAATGGCCGATATTTGCAAAATGCATTCTTGCTTATTGTTGAACAGACGTCGGATTGCGAAGCTTGTCTGTTACAATCATGGAAAACTTAAGGAATTTTTCAAGGCAGTAAATTTTCCAAGGAGGTACAGCTAGAAAATTTGCTAAGAAGCTTACGATGCACATTTAAGTATTTTAATACTTTATTTACTGATCACTCTAAATTATTTCGGATAGACAAATAGTGTTTTTATGTAAAGTTTTCATTTTTGGTATTGATATTTGTCTAGTCCCTCAGTTTGTATTTTTTCCCAAAAATACAGGAGAGAAATGCACACCGAAAAGATTAGCACAGCCGTAACGTTCTAGACCCATATTTGCGATGTACACGAATTGATTTTCAACTTGGACACAGTATACTGGCGTTCTCGGGATTTTACTCAGGTAATCCAGGCGAATTCAAATATAGAACATTGATGTCTTCGCTCTCTCGAACACTAGTATCATAGGTTCGAATCCCACTCAAGACATGGATGTCTGTGTGCGTTTATTTTGTGTTTGTGTTAGGTAGCGGCTTTGCGACGAACTGATACCCCGTCCAAGGAGTCCTACCTACTGTCTAAGATTAAGAAACTAAAGAGAAACGAAGCGTTTCACGAATACCCCATGCTCCAAATGAGAGCAACAGGAATAAAGAAAGAAGAAGACATTTAAATAGGCCACAACATCTTCCTTCCACTTTCTCTCCAACATAGCATTCACTAAGCATCATACCAATGTGAGCTACATAATCTGTGCTATTAAGAGCACCGTTACAAGAATTACAAGCAAAATTAACAGTTCTGTGTTCCAGAATATGACGCCATGTAGCCCGCTGAAAGCCCACCAGTGTTTCCGAGGAAGATGTCAGTTGACTTCCAGCGGGCTACATGGCGTCATATCCCAGAAGACAGAACTCCTCATAACCAGCGCTGTAAGAACCTCAAATCTTCCAAGCAAAGTGTGTCTCGCGAGTGAAGACCTGACTTACGAGAAAACTGAAGAAAAATGTTAAATATACATATACGCACGACCCTACTCTTTTTTGGCAGTTGGAAAGGGTGTAGGGTAATGTGCTAGGAGAATTTAAATCCGCCATCTTGATGCTACAGGTTGCGTTGAAACACACCTCCAAGCGCTATATCATTAATGTGTTTTGTAAGATGCATAGCATCAGTAAGCACACGAAACACCCTCCAGGGGGCGCCATTAGGAAGATTTAAGGAATTCGTGTACACAGCTGGCGGTATGTTGCAAGGCGCGATGCTGTGAAACTTCATTGAAGGATACAGATGTTGTTTCACTTGAACGATAGGTTTATACATGGCGGCGAGCAACATCTTGTGCTAAGAGGCCCGCGCCATAGCTCAAGCGGTTAGTCGCTGGCTTCCCACCGCGGCGGCCCGGGTTCGATCCCGGGTCTGGTCAAGTGGGATTTGTGGTGGACAAGGCAGGTTTTCTCCGAGTACTTAGGTTTCCCCTGCCAATCTTCATTCCACCAATAGCTCCACAATCACCCTCACCTATCATCTGGGGCTGGTACAATAGGCCAGAAGTGGCCGCAGTACAACGGACTTAGTCCCACCCCACTAGCAATAAAAAAAAACAACTTGTGCTGGATTAGAGGTTCCCACAGCGGTGACTATGAAGAGTACCATCTGCAGGAACGTGAAGCCGTGTAGACCCGTATACAGGTTCATTGGTGTTTCACATGAGTGTACTCAATCCATCTTCACGGTTGAATGTATATCAAGCTGATCTTTTTCTACTTACCTTTTCTCTCATTCCTCCTTTCGACCTCAAGTGTGGATGCGAGAGGTTCCTCCAAAACTTCGGTGTACTTTAATGGCTGCATGGCGACAAGTCCCGCAACCGCCTCTGTGGTCTAGTGGTCAGCGTTTCTGGCGACAGATCCAGAGATCCGGGTTCGATTCCCGGCGCTACCAGATTTTTTGAGAAGTAGTGGGTCTGGAGCGGGGTCCACTGAGCCTCGTGATGATGACTGAGGAGCTATTTAAAGGAAATAGCGGCTCCGGTCTAGAAAACCTAAATTAACGGCCGTGGGGATTCGTTGCGCTGACCATGCGACACTCTCTATCCGTAAAAGTTAGCACTAAACTACGCCGACCAGCGGCGGTAGCTCGGTCTGTATAGTTCGCTTGCGGACTGCAGGCTACGGAGTTTGTTTTTTGTTTTGTTTGATGGCGACAAGTCCCAGAAAATAGTAATTGTTGGTTTTCTTCTTTCATTGCCTCTTTTTTCAATTATTTCTTCTTTTCTGTGTTTATTCCTTTATTGATTTACTCGTTTTCGGTTATTCCTTTGACTTACGCACTTCTTACTGAACACTGAATAGGAGCGTGGATAGCTCAGTCGGTATAGCGACTGCCTACGGGCTGGAAAACCGAGGAGACAGAGTTCGAGTCTCTGTTTGGTCAAGATTTTTCTCTTTTCCGCGTCTTCCAGACTGGCCCTGGAGTCCACGTATTTCCCTATCCAATGGATACCGGGGACTCTTTCCCTGGGGGTGAAGCGGCCGGCACGTGAAGCTCACCACTCACCTCCATCTAGTGTTGAGATCAAGAAAAATGGATCTATACATCCACTTCTCCATACGTCTTCATGGCGTACTGCTTAATTAATTAAGCTCAGGGACAGTTTTACCTCACTGAACACTAAAGAAACACTCGGAATTATTGGGTCATTGAACTTTGTCAATTGTCCGAAATTTTCCCTGTTATCTCCCACTGACAAAGCCTGGCCTCGTGTCAATAAAGCCGTAGTTTACTGGCACAAGTTGTGCAGTGATTGGGATTAGCCCTTTCTAATGGATCCAACGGAATAGCTATCTTCCCTCTCATTTGAGGGCGGTAACGTGCAGTTTCCAAATAGTTGTGTCTCGTGTTTTTAGAACACGGGTCGAGAGACAATGTCAAAAAATTCAGCAATTCTGAGTGTTATACGCCATCATCAGAACCATATCTCGTAAAGAGATACACGTACCTTTGATCAATCGTAGGAATTCAACAGGTAATTCATTTCTTTTAAGGATAAAAGGTAAAGCTAAGCCTGTAACGGGCCGTGGAGGCCAATAGAGTTGTGAGACGTCGAGGCTCCCACATTTTCTAAACAATCGGCTCATTTATGGCGGTGAGGTTGTCAGCCTTACGCACCGGCCTCCCTTTACTCGCAGGAAGAGTCCTGGTACTCATTTCTGTCAGAGGCTGAGTCAACCCCAGGGCCGTACTACGGCTGGAAGGATTAGTTACATAAAAATGGAATGATCTCATTGGGAATCGAACCCGCGACCTTCCGGATTATAGTTTAGGGCTTCAATCATTTCTTTTATGGAGTTCGGATGGAAATAATAGCAATGCATTTCCAATTTTAAAACCAGTTTTACCGTTTAAATGAAGCAAAAGAGGTCAATTTGGAAAGAACTGTTCTAAGTATGTAAATTTTGAGGTTTTCACGGCGATGACTATGACGAAGGGTCGTCTTCTGGGATTTGGCGCCGTGTATTCTTGGTTTTAACCGACGTTTCGGAGGAACATATGGCCTCCATCTTAAGGGCAGTTGAATTGCGTTGCGAATACAGAGAGCAGTAGCTGCAATGATTGGGAAGTGAAAAGCGCTAGTTTATGTATGAAGTAGGCAGGGGGGTTTGGGAGAGGGGACCAATGGGAAGATTGAACAGCGATTAAGGCCATACATGGTCTGGGGGGCGAAAGGGGGGGATACCGGCCAGTGAATCCAGGAACATGGAGGTCAATGGCACGGAGGTGGCGGTTAAACAAGAAGAACCGGTTGGCTGGGGACAGGCTATTGACGTCAATGACATGAACTGGGGACAAGCTACTGACGCCAATGACATGAAGAAGAACCTCTCATCTCTTCCCTCAAAGGAACTCCACAAAGCCACCCCAGTTCTTCTTCATGTCATTGACGTCAGTAGCCTGTCCCCAGCCAACAGGTTCTTCTTGATTAACCGCCACCTCCGTGCCATTGACCTCCAAGTTGCCTGGATTCACTGGCCGGTATCCCCCCCTTTCGCCCCCCAGACCATATATGGCCTTAATCGCTGTTCACTCTTCCCATTGGTCCCCTCTCCCAAACCCCCCTGCCTACTTCATACATAAACTAGCGCTTTTCACTTCCCAATCATTGCAGCTACTGCTCTCTGTATTCGCAACGCAATTCAACTACCCTGAAGATGGAGGCCATATGTTCCCCCGAAACGTCGGTTAAAACCAAGAATACACAGCGCCAGATCCCAGAAGACGACTTTCTTCAACTGTTCTAAGATTTATCCTTGCTTTTAAAGTTTTAATCGCTTCATATTTAACGACACGGCCAATAAAACAGTCTGTATATTGTTGAATATTAAAATTACAGTGAATATTTAATGGGGAAGGATGTGAAAAGAAGCAGTCGTGACCTAATCTGATTTACTATCTCGGAATTTGCCTGAAGGGACTGAAGAAAACCAAGAAGACAGGATAGTTGGTGTCCCCTCCCGAGATTCGAATTCGACATCTCTCGAGTACAAGACGATTGT